TTTTTCCACGCATCAAGGTACGCTGGCATCGGACGTGCTAAATTCTAGAAAAAATGACTTCTTGTTATCAAAATATCAATCAATCAAAATATCTTGTTCATTCATGACTTGAGATATGTCGTTTAATATGACATGTGTGACCAGTGGATTAATTGTAAAAGGCTTGAAAAACTAGTATTCTGAAAGGAAACGGATAAATTTTAAGGAAAAACTGAATAATCAAAATATTATAGGATGGACTAAAAACTAAATCATTTAGGATTAAGTTTTTCGTCAATACGTCTGATAAGTCTGTTGCGGGAATCTTCCAAGTGAACAATATATCTCTGAAATTTTAAACTCGGACTTTTCAGTAGATTCGCCGAGAAGGGATTAAAGTCGAAGCTTAATTCCAGGCCTCATATTCATTTTGGGGAATGTATGGTACACCGAAGCACACAAGGGCATTCGGAATCTCTGCAACAAATCGAGCATGCGTCAAAGAGGAGGACTGTTCCATACGCCAAAGATCTAAACAAGGCTCCAGTCCGACCTCGTAGAAGATGCCAAGATTCTAGAAGGTGACGGCCCAGAGACAGACGGATGGACGGACGTACAGATAGACACACGACCGGAAGACCGGAAAGAGGAGCAAAGAGCCGCATATACAGATCTCGGTGGCCACTCGATGTCGTGGGCATTGAGCAACGACTGGAGAAGCGCCCGGGGGCTCTCGACGTGTTGGTTCGTTCGTTTGTGTGGATCCCAAGGAATCGGGCGAAGGATTTTCCTCCCGCCGTACAGTGTACCAGGCGGCAATAGGCCCCTTCAATGCAACGGTCGGCAGAACGGTGGGCTTCGCCGGACTATTATTAGCCGGAGGAGAAGCAAAAGGAAACGAAACACAACACATCAATTGCCCCCAGCACCCGAGCTCGGCCCGGCCCGGCCCCCAGAAGGGGCTGGGCTGGGGCTCGGCTCCTTGCAGAGGGAAGGAAGCGAGAAAGCGAGAAAGCAATGCTGCTCAGAAGCGCGGTCGGATGGCGAGGTCAGACAGAGCCATCAGACCAGGTTTTACGCACTCTGCCCACTTATATGAGGTGTCGGAATGGATGTTAACAGAGGAAGAAGTCTCGCTTACTCCCCATCCCATCCCATCCCTCCCCCCCCACTGTCTGACAAGGCCCCCCCTTCCGGGAGGTCTTTCTCGTCTCCCCGAAGTCTCCGATCGGCTGGCTTTGCACGGTTCAGATCTGCTCCCTGATGCTTGGGGGGCAGGGGCAGGGGCTGGGCTTCACGCCTCTACGCAGTTTGAGGTGAATCTGGCGCGGACGGACAGAGAGACAGACAGAGGGACAGAGGGACAGACAGACAGCGAGTGCATTTGCTGCCTGCGAGGCGGGGGGTTGGGGGTTGGGGTTTGGGGGCTGGGGCTGGGGCTGGGTCGGAGTGGGTGGAGGCTTGGGCTTGGGGCTGCTGCCGCTGCTGGGGTTTTGGAGGTCGCCGCACACGACAATCCGGAGGGACGGAAGCATCACTGTAATGAAACCTCTCAGAGGGGGAAGGGGAGGGGGAGGCAAGGGGAACAAAGTGCTAGTGCGGTTTTGCCCCAAGTTTTATGTTTCTGTACTGGACTGTACTTTCTAACACAAATTCTCTCTTGAGCCCGACAAGCGAACGAACTCGGTAATGTGCGGCTTTCGCACATTACCAAGCCTTCCGTAGAACGCCATGCCATGCCATGCCAGCTGGGTGCACAAACAAACGAGCAACGTACTAATAAGGGCAAGATTAGAATCTGAGTCAGTGTCTCGCATTATTCAACTGTCTCTCGATTCATATGTTCTCCCTTGACTTTATTGGGAGCGGAAATTCCGAGACGGTATATTCACCGAGCCTTGCCAGAACAACACACCGAAATCCTGCCCTCCGGTGCATGATCTCCAAAAGATTTGAGCAACTCAGTTCACCATCAACGAAAAGATCCCGCCCCGTCCCACCCAAACTGACTATACTCGGTTCCTGAAAAGACCTGCCCGTGGACTCGGTAGTCCAAATTTGTTGCTTGTCCATTGAACAGGTCTTCTCGAGCAGCAGCACAGAGCCCTTTCCCCAAAATTCCAAAGCCTTGAATCGTACACTTTTTTGGCCCGGCCGGCCCCAAGATGATGTGCATTTATAACAGTTCCCTTCGGGCGTACGATGCATGTGTATGCAGGAAGTTTCCATTCAGGCTGAGCTGCTGAGAGCACGGATGATGTCTCATCGCTGCAGGCCAGGCAACGCACAACACAGGCCGAATCACAGAGTCTTCTTCACTCCCCTCGTCGCCCATTATAGTCATGCCTTTCCTTTCTTACAGAGTTCTGTTGTCTGTTCGGAAACAAACCCGGCCCAGGGCAAAATGTGAAACGCCGGGCCAGGATCGGGAGGAGGAAACAAACAAAAACGCACGCAGTGCGACTGTGCGAGGTGGCTGGACCTGGGGCGGGTGTGAAGCGGGATGGGGATACGTCGAGAGACCAAAGTCCAAGCTTCCAAAGATAGAGAGGACGGGAGGGGATGGGATGGGGGTCGGCCAGAGGGCAGAGAAGTGCAGAGGACCAGTGATCCACGTGGTTTCCCGTCCAGGGAAAGTTAATGAGCGAGGCGAGATTTAATGAGGGACGGGGAGTTTTGTTTGCGAAGCTATGACTGTAGGTAAGTTCCACACGTAAACAATGATACAACCTGCAGCTGCATCAATCACTGATGTGCAACTTGTGCTGGCTGATGTGCTTGCTGCTGCTGCTGCCGCTGCTTCTTAGCGCAATCGTCTTTCGAGTGAGTCCACCCCTGGCCCACCCGTGCCCGCTTTTGACCTGGATCGAGGACCCCACCCCCCGGCCGGCCCCGCCCCCTCGCCCACCCCCACCCCCACCACTACCCCCACCGTGCCCCACCCCCCTTCCATGGATGGCCGGACGACGGACGGACCCTACCCCACCCCCGCTCCACGCACCCTCGCTCGCCTCCACCCAGCCCCCCATCCAGCCACCCAGCGCTAGAGAGAAGTGCTTAGCGATGGACGGACGGATCGAGGGGAAGGGGATGGGGATGGGGAGAATATCAGGGGCATGGGAGTGGAGGGACTGCACATACGGACCGTATGGAGTGAGGGTGATGCATGATGCATCGGCCATCCAATCTGGGACTGGGCGTCGCTGCTAATGGTGCTAATGGTGCTGGTGCTTGGGCTTGGGGCTGGGGCTGGGGCTAGGACCTGCGTGCTTTCATCGGCTGTTATATACTGAGGAAGCTCTCCAGTCCTCGGAAGGGGGCGTGATATACGCGTACGACCGCGACCTGTGTGTGTCGGCAAAAGAGGGCCTGTCAGAACATGGTCAACGAGGAGATATCTTCTAGATTTACCCTCCATCACATCTTCAACTGTCGCCCAGTGGAGTGTAGTGGTAGGGCTTGGATTGTGTTTCCATTTTGGCTGTGCGGATGAGATGATGTGGTCAACATCACCACAGTCTCCTTTCTTCTCTCCTGCCTGCTGGCCTCCGTCCCCTTCGCTTCGCATGTTCCTTGGCTTCTCAGTTCCTCCCGACCCACGGCGACTGGAATCTGGGCCCAGATCTGAATTACCATCACCTCCCGTCTCTCTCTCTCTCTCGATCTCAGCTAGCAGCTACCAACAATCTCCCGAGCGGAGATTTCTGGACTCGGGTTCGTATGTTTATTCTCGCAGCTGGTGCAGTACGTGAGTAGACTGCGAGACACACATCATAACTAGCAGCTAGCTCCCGGATTCAGGAGGCGGAAGGTCTCATATTTCAGAAGCGCTTTATTTTAGGGGCCGGGCTGGTCGAAATAATTTATGCTGCACTTTATCTCGGATTAGTTGGGCTCGGCTTGACTGGTTGCTGAAGTTGTTACCGCGGCCGGTCGTTAGAGAGAGGGAGGGAGGGAGGGAGGGAGGGAGAGAGCGAGCGAGGGGGAGAGGCTTAGCGCCATCAGTTTCTGTGTCCCATAATCCATCCAATTGTGAAACGAAGTGAAGTGTGTCTGTCTCTCACAGTGCTGCTGGCAATCTGTTCCATCTCTCTCTCTCCCTCTCTCTCTTCCTATCTATCGCCTTTTGTCTGCGGCTCGAAGCCTCACCAGCCTCAGCCTGCTGCTGCTCTCTGCCTGTCTGTCTGTCTGCCTGTTTGCCTGCATGGTCTGGACACTGCTGCTTCAGATACCGAAGCGCACAACATCCACACCAAATCGGTATGCATCACATAATCTCCAGTCCGATTGTAGGGTGGGGGGAGATATGAAAGGGCGACTGAATCACCGACTCACGTGGCTAGCATCCGAATGCGACACGAGCCCGCTTCTGCCTCTTGCTTGCGTCTCTCCGGGATCTTCCTTCTGCTGCGCCCATGCCTCTTCTTAAATACCTTTTAGACACCGGGTCATCAACTTTCATCTGTTTTTTCTCTCAATCATTCCCCGTGTCTCCCCCGAGGGCCCCCTATCCAACGCTCGAAACCTGGCTACAGACAGCCCTCCCCCTCCCCCTCTTCCCTCCCTCCCTCCCTCCCTCCCTCCCTCCCTCTCTACCATAGAGATCTCGCCCTTCTGTCTGTCATCTCCTCGCTTCGTCGCCTGTCGCCCCTCGCTTCGTCCCAGTTACTTACGGGTTTGCGCAGGCAGGCAGGCAGGGAGGCAGGCGGGCAGTGATAGTGCTAGCAGCAGCTACCGTAGCATAAGCAGCATAAGCTAAGAAGCTACTTTACCCCGTTCGCCATTATCGAGATCCAGTCTTTTGTTCTCCCCGTAACTGTGCAGTGCTGCTGCTGCTGCGCAGCGTCAGAAGTGTCAACCCCCGTTGCCTGACGGGAAGCGAGGGCGATGTTGTATCTGCAAATGTCACGAGACTTAATTGAGGTCCGTTTGTAGCTCTCCTTTTCCCACGTATAGCCTCGAGGCGGTTGGGCCGGCTCAGTCCTAATCTACTTACTCTCCTGGCTCACTCACTAGTCGTGCCCTCACTCTTTGTCATCTCCTGGTCATCCTGCTGAAATTCGATGTATCTCCTCGTGTCCTGCTTGTCGGTCGCTTTCTAGTCCTCCCCAGTCCAGTTTCCATCCCTCGCTCACGTTCCTCCTCCCTCCTCTCTCTCTCTCCAGCTGCTGCTGCTGCTGCTGCTGTCCCCTCTCTCCTCTCTCCTCTCTCCTGCGGTGCACAGCTCGTACACTCGTCCCTCGTCGTCGACCGCCTTCCCTCGAATGCGGCCGCCCGCTGTGCACAAAACCTGTCCATGGAGTCATTCTGCTCTCTTCTCCGAGAGAAGCGGCCATTCCTGTGCTGTACAGACCTCGCGCACTATTGCTCCTCAATTCCGGACTTCTAGTGTACTTTTGTCCACACTCCGACCCAGCGCTGTAATCTCTCTCTTCTAAGCCCTTCCGACACTTTGCGAGCCCGTCCGCTGTGCACATACTTACTTATCTCTAGCTCTGGGCCAGGGATCCAGCGAGCCTCACGTAACTTCTTGCATCGAGAGGGGGACTGACTCGAGCTCTTAGAGCGATTCGACGCGTAGTATGAGAGTGGCAGCGGCGAGTGTGCAGCCTCTCGCAATCATGCCGATTTCACCGCCTCCCGTCAGCTAACGACTGCTAAAAAGGATTTCCATTCTAGACCGATCCGGGTCCAGGGCTCGCTCGTTCGCTCGTTCTCAGCAGCAATCTGTCTTTCCCGTGTCCTCCCTCTATGTTTCTGTTCTTCTCAATCTCAGAGTGCGTTTGGATTGTGTCTTGTGGCGGCTTCCTCGTCACGCTCCGTGTTGCAGCAGCTCCCTTTGGCACATGCACTTTCATGTCTCCTTTTCTGTCCCCAATCTATCGAGACCTTTTCCTGCTCTACTCTGACTCGAAGATATCTTAGTGATCGTGGCCGCGTAGATTGCTTGCTTGCTGCAAAGCAAGCTAGCTCGACTGGACTTGCCACGCTCTTCCCATTCCTCCTTTTCCTCCTCCTCCTCCTCCTCCTCCTCCTCGTGGCAATTGCAGCAGCGTCGCAGATCCAATGATTTTTCCAGTGGCCTGCGGGAATATTTTGCTCTCCACCTCCAAGGACGGCGTCTCCACCATTACCTGATGCTCCATGATCATATCCGATACCGATGCCCGACGACGCCTGATCCCACTTACAGCAGCTGAGATGAAAGAATTTTCCTGCTTCCGGACTTGACGAGACCATTTTGACGAGAGGAGTGCGCACGAACGAAAACTCGAAGGTGACGAGACGAGAAGAGACGAGACGAGACGAGAGGACAGGACAGGACAGGACAGGAGCTAGCGAGCAAGCATCCATTCATTCATTGATTCATCCAACCATCCATCTATCTATCCACCAATCTCCGGGTCAAAGGGGTTAATTTTGAGACACTGCGGAGATTTCGAAGAAAGACAAATTCGCTCGTATTGAAGGACATGGAAGGAAGAGCTTCGTGTCGTGGAGCGAGCTGATCGAACCGCAATGCGAAACAGGCCCCCGAGGACCCAAGAATCAGAACTTTCCGATGGAGAAGCTCCTTTAATTCTCGTCCATGTCAACTGACAGCCCAGCCCGCCCGCCTCCTTAATAGACGACGATAATTTTATTGACAACAACGACGACGACGACGACGACGACTCGACGGCTCAAAGCTCACGAGCTTTTTGTTTACAGCGACAGACAGACAGACTGACAGACAGACAGGCTGATCAGAAATACGAGGCAGAAGAATTTGAGCACGCAAGGAACGAGATAGTTATGCACAATGCTTCTCCAAGGTGAAATTAGCAGTGGCAGCGACGAGGGCCCGACGTGGAGGGACCCGTCTTCACGCAAGCGGCGGTCGTCATCGAGCGGAGACACTCAAACTCCCGACCGCTCGTCGGAGAATACGCACAATATCGGCAGGCCTGGAGGAGGAGGAGGAGGTGGTGGAGGAGGTGGAGGAGGATCGAGCCCCAGCGCGAGCCCTCGGGGAAGCCCATGCTTGGGCTTCTCGGGCATGGGACGCAGCGGCGGTCAAGTTCGGCAATACGTCCGCTCGAAGATGCCTCGCCTTCGATGGACTCCGGATCTCCACCTTTGCTTCGTGCATGCTGTGGAACGCCTCGGCGGCCAAGACAGTGAGTTCGTCAATCTGTCCGTCCTCTAGGATCAGATGGATCGCCTGTCGTCCACAATTTGACCTTCGATTTTTTCCTCTGAGAGAGAGAGAGAGAGAGAGCACCTTGCCCCACCGTTGCTCAGCAGCAGCAGCAGTAGAAGCAGCATTGAGCTGTGACACCGAGCCCATCATGCCTGCCAGCATTTTCTCAAATCTCCTCTTCTATCCCAACTTCCTATAAGCTGGAGAATGTGATCCAACTTGAGTCTGTAAGCAGCTCCGCAAGCTGCTCGTCAATTGTCAAGCACGCACGCTCACACACAATTTCCTCTCCTCGTGCTGCGCTGCTGCTTCTCCGTGGGCAGTCATCAGTCGTGGATTGAGAACAATTGACCTCGCTTCTTCCTCTCATCTAATCCCCTCCCTTCTCTTCTCAAATGCTCATCGCCACAAACTGGTTCCGTTATTTACACTCGGCCCTTTACGAACAAGCCTGCCTGGCAAGCTACTCGTAGCTGGTCCACACTTAATGCACAGACTTTGGCAGTCCATGGCTTGCCAGCCCAGACCTGCTGCTGCTGCTGGTGGTTCTGCTGCTCCCAATCAAAGATGACGGCAGTGCATTATGAAATTCTATGAATATGAAATTCTCCTACTCGGAGCTTGTTGGGGTGGTTGGGGAATGGATAGTTCTCGTATCTGCTGTAACAGTTTTCCAAATCGGGAGAAATTGTTTGTAGCTTATAATTTTTGGATGGGTGGAGGAAGTGAAGCACGCCATGATCGCAGCGAGGTTCTACTAGTTTTCTCTAGCGAGCGCTCGAGCTGTTGTTGGTCGGTGGACTTACGTATTGCTTGATTGATTTACTGCGACCACAGGAGCTACACCCAAATTGGTTCTTCAGCGGATGGATGTGAAGGGCTTGACGATAGCGCACGTGAAAAGCCATTTACAGGTCAGTGAATTTCTAAGATTTTATATGCGCTCTCTATATGTCTGTCATCCATCGCACGATAGACAGCCCGCCCGCCCGCGAAGTAACTGCAATTGCACAATTTGACTGAAGCGATGTCAGCAGTTGAATCACAGACAGACATTTCGCCTTCTGATGAACATTGAGTGAGGCGAAGGCCGAGGCCTAGGCCTGACTGTCTATGCTTGATTGAGAATATTCTTAGGGTCAAGCTCATTAGGGTGTCTTCTTTTATCATCTCTTACCTTCTCTTGCCGGGATGGAGTCGCATGTCTCGTCCATTGTTTCCATGTCAAACTCTCTCGGTTCCCAATCCGACCTGCGGAGCTAACGTGGAGAATTTTGGCAATCTGACAGATGTATAGGAGCATGAAGAACGACGAAAATGGGCAAGGTACTACTGCTGCTCCGTTGTCTGTCACCCGTATCAGGAATGAGTGTAGGGATTTGTATCGACAGATTCGCTCCTTCAGGTCATCGTCATCGTCATCTGTGTGTATATCAGCTGCAGCGCGGGTGATAGTGGGGCCAAGACATTTGACATTGGGGTCAAACCCAAAATTTAGATCCAGCGACTAGAGATCGCCAATGCTGCTATGTCTCTCTAGATAACGTCATACGTTTGATCCCACCTGGAAGAGCTGCATTTACGATTTGATCTGACCATTGTGCATCACACTGGTTGTCGTCTTCCAGCAACTATGCCACAAACTGAACGCAAAATACCAGAAGGACCAGATAGTTCCGAGACGTTTCCGAGAATTCGACTCCAGCATAGCGACAATGGGACTGTCCTGATCAAGGACGAGGCCACCAATACTCAACATTATCACAATTTTCTTCACCGACAAGTGCTCCAACCTCTCGATCATCACGCATCATCGAGGTAATGATGCTAGCACCCATCCATCCCCTCTTACCAACATATCGTCGACGATGTTCTAGTCATCCATCGGTACAATTGCTGTTATCGTGTTGGGCTGAATGAAGATCCATCTAGGTTCAGAAATGACTATTTCAGCACCATCTCGAGTTTACACATACAAGTCTGGTCATGATTATAACGACGCGGCCAAGCCATAAATACATGAATCTGATTGCCGTCCAAACACGAGATGTTTAGGACCCCAGTGAAGGCACGGGGATGATTGCCCCTGAGGAAACGACGAGGCCCTCTATACTAAGAAGTTGCTCGTTGATTAAGATCTGTACATCTCAAATCCGTAATCACTGTGAACAGATTCCTGATGAGACCAGCTCTTTTAAAGAAACCGCTTGTGTAGAAGATTCGGACGTTAGCCATTGAAAATATTTCAACTTTTCTGCCTTCTGAACCAAAAGTGTTACCAATCGCTCAGTTTACTGCGGTCTGAGTCGATTGATCGACAAGTCTTGATAAGTAATGCTGTGGTTTGTTTGCGGCCACGGTAGTCAATAATAGAACTAGGTCTGACAAGGATTGTCCGTCATAAACCGAACTTCCAGCTTCCAGTCTGATGCTTTACCGAATCTGCTGAATCTGACAGAATTCTCGATGTCTTCATCCCAAGAAATTTTGAAATTATTAAAAGAGATTAGAGACCCACAGTGAGCTCGACGATGCCAAAACCTGTGAAATGTACTAGATGACAAGCGTGGATAATGAGTTACTGGTCGGGCAGCCTTCACTTCTGACACATACTAGCTGTGAATGTCAGGATCGATGGATTCCCAAAGACATTGCCTACGTAATATCGAAGCAATGTTGTACTGTCTGCTGCTTTGCCACCGGAACACGTACATGAGCTCGTGCATGCCATTTTCCAACAGCTTCTATTCTGGCTTCAGTTTGACTGATGTTCGCGATGATTTCATGGATCGGCAACCAGTTATCAAAATCTTCATAGTGGGAGTAGGTAGCTGTCAGAGAGCAGAACTGAGAAATGCATCTTGCAGTAGGCGAAGAGATTGTATGATGACACTCGCACGAGAAATCTTCAGATCGTGGTTCTAATAGAATGTCGTGATGCAGACATGACAGTCTCGCATGGATGGGGCAACCTGAATGGATTCCTCGAGCTTATACGGCAAACGAAAATGCTACAGTAGCGCCCGGCAGCCAGGCGCATTGGGCAGCTGAACACGAAGGGCATCAGATAGATTACTGGAATAAGAAGGACCAAATCTTGCATACTGCCTCATCCCAAGGACCCGGAGCCGACGATCGGAACAAGAGGCAATCTGTATCGATAGAATGGGACAGAAAACCTGGCTCGGTAGATGAGTATCCGCCGAGACTCAACCTGATGAGCGATGGCTGGTCGAGAGTTCCCGCTGCCGAAGACGCCTACCAAATGAATGACAGATTACGGAAGAGTGAAATGGAAACCGAGTGGGGCAAGTGGAGGATGCACGAGGTCAGAGTCGATGCAGCCAACAGAGGTTTGCAAGCAGGCTCTCTGGGACACTCGGCTTACTCAAATATATCGACACCTCTCTTCAAGGCTGCAGCTCCTGCTCCTCAAACACGGGTGGACACGGACAGTTCCAAAGGACTGCAACATCTGGACCAGAGTGCATGGGAGTCCGATGTCCAAGGACGCATAGCTCTCGAGCTGCAGGTATGATGGTTCTTCCCTTCGCTAAAAATCCTTCTCCTCGCTCCGAGCGGATGTACACTTTGGAAGTGAGTTCTGCTCTGCGTTCAGTACATTTCCATGTTATCAATAAATCTTTCCTAAATAAGGAGGTCCTTGTAGAAGCTCCCTTGTAAGTCTTCTGACATAGGCCAGAAGAGCGCGTTAAGCCACAGAAACATCAACTCCTGACTGATCCCGGCAGCAGCAGGAAATCTATATTTGTTCCTCTAACTTGCTGTGAAGTAGTGACAGTAGTTTGAATGGAGTGCCAATCGAGAGAGAGAGAGAAAGAGAGATTGGACTCGAATCGGTTCACAGATCGGTTTGACGCTGCATGGAAAACACTGATCAGGATTCGCAGCGAGGACTAACACCAAGCTGTTCGGTGTACTCAGCTGCAGAGAAATCTGGAACTCAAACGCATGCAGGAGGAGAAGACAGAAGAAAAGCTGCGATCCGCGGCAGCAGCAGGTCACGATCAGCTGCACCAGCACGGCAGCATGAACATGCACTGGATGTCGAAGCTCGTGGAGACGTCGATGGAGAAGAGCTCGAAACGGCCTCCGGCTTTGCAATTGGCGGAGGATCCTCCGGACAGCACTCTTTCTCTATCGTCCCTGTCCCAATCGTATAGCACCTCATCCCAATCGAGGCCGGTTCGTTCGGCCTCCGTGGTCAATATACCCGATATGAATGATGTGGAAGGTCCTCCTTTACAGATGTCAGAAGAAGCAACTTGCATACAACCTCCCCAGGGTATAACGTTAGATCTTACTATGTCCATTGGAGCCGGTTGAGACCAGACTCCTTCCGTGGATCATTTTAGAGCGAGCAAGGTACTTCATTTACCATTACACAGGAGCTTGCTTGAGGTGCATGGTTTCGTTGGGTCCGACTCCTCTCGGTGTCAGACACAGACCATCTGCTTCTGAACAGTAGAGTAGTCATCAAATCAGAAGCTGAACTTGGAAGTTTGGAACTAGCTCCTCAAATGTTTCCCCCTCTAGTGAGAAGGGAAAAATTCCTGTCACTAGGTTCAGATGAGAATCGAGGGAAATTTGAAACGTAAAGCAAGTACACTCATAGCATTCAGCAGCTAGATAGCTTTCAGATGAGGCACTCAGATGTAACTAGGATCTCCAGGATGATTCTTTAGAACCACGTACGCACACACATTGATTCATTCATGTTGAACATAATATCAGAGTTTCAGACTTTACATCTCAATAAGACACGAAGCGAGCGCAGCATGGATCAAATTTGATTCCAAGTTTCATCCTCTGATCACACAACGTGCAACTTTCACATTTCAAGTGCACTGGGCTGCTTCATGTTTACGACTGTAATGATTGCCACTGACATGCGACCCACGACACATTCGTAGACTAGCCTCTTTCACCGACCTGTCTTGTCGTTTAGCTCGTGCTCCAGCACTCGAGCGAGCCCTTCAGAGAAAAGCTGTCTGACATGCTGGGAACAGTTTCAGGTGCATGCTTATCAGCCAAACCCTGGTGGATACATTGCCGGATTCTGGCTGACAGAAATCAGTCAACCGTAAAGTGGACTCTCTTTCTTGCTTGCTTGCTTCCAGCCTTCTCTTCAGCAGCGTGCAGCAAGAATTGTCAACTTCATATCTAGCATCATCTGCAGATATTGTCGGAAGAATAAAACTCTCGGGCCGCTTCTCTTGCACACTAAAGTTGTGCCTCAATCATGAATCGAGAATAATGAATGGCAAAAGATCGACATCAAGAGTGTAGTTGCTTGTACACACTGTTGCGGCCAGTACAGACTCTGGTCTGCAGAAAATGTCACAAAGGGATGCATGATGCATTAATTTTTTCGTACACAAAAAGTTTCAGTACATCAGATCACAGTATTTTATCGCTACGAATGATTGTTGAAGCTTGTGACAGGCACTCCTTGGTACTTCCCTACTTCATGAGTCATGCACAAGCTTGAAGCTATCAACCCATGGAATGGAGACTTGACCTGGACTTGTGGAAAAGCACCCGACCGGTCCTACAATCTGAATTATATCGGTCGTCATAAGTGATATGCAATAAGTTAATCCCTATTGCATTCTGTTCTAATGCTCATTGAGTCGAGAAGTCAATATCAACTATAAATTTCCAATACCTCCACAAAAAGAAGATTTTTTTCTGAACAAGCGAACGTTTGGGAGCCGATATCAAGAGCTAAGTACATAGTGTCAACTCAATTCGTGTATGTGACTGATATTATTCATGCTATATTGTCTGATTTTCTGTTCTTGTCTACTTTCCATCCCTTTATGGCTGCACACAACAACAACAACAACAGTGGAATATTTTTTCAACGAACTGCGGTATCATAGATATAAATGACAATTCAAAATTTCCATATCATGTGGAATTATTCTCAAGACTTTAGATAAGCATGAAGAGTTGATTGTAGATATATCTAGAAAAGTTGTGCTTCCATGTTATTCAATTGCATTGAAACAGAAACTAACTTTCAGCTTCATCATTTTCATCTCATATGTAAATATGTAATATTTACTCCAAGTAGCTACTCTGAAAGTTTTGTATCTGAATCCGAAATTTGGGAAACTTTGGTATGAATTCATCCAAATTAACAACTGCAGATCTTGTATCATTGTTCAATTACTAGTTTCAATATTTCTTTTGTCATAACAGAAAAGAGTTGATCAAATCCAGATATTTTGATTTAACATATGTGAAACTAAGAATCAAACTAGTCTTCATATTGTGAAATGTAGCCACAATGCAAGAATAAACAAAATATAACCAGAGAGTAATGTAATTTCCTTAAAAAAATTTCTTATTAGAGGAATCCAGATTTAAATTTCAACATAATGTTATATATATTTTCAATTTCAAATAACCTTAAATCTTTCAAATAAAATTCAAATATCTATGTCTAACATAAGTATTCAATCTTTAGATTGAATAAAAAGAACAAATTTCAAAAACTAAATATTACAATCACGTCATTATATAGTTTTAACGACTAGTTATCCCTCAGTTTATGCTAATTATTTTTCACACTAATTTCAAAATGAACAAGTTATATCCAAAGCCAGAGGTATCCCGAGCAACATTGGACTTTGCGCTATGGGTAGTGCAAGCTTATGGGTTTAATCAAGGCTACGCCGTTATGATTAAACGCAGACGCAGTGACTAAAAAAATAAATAATTTACCATGGATATCGAAAGCATTTTTGTTTCCCACCAACCAATCACAAACCTTATTTCTTAAAAAACTCATTTAACTTTTGTAGAGTGAGTATAACTAGCCGCTCCCTATATAATACATGTTTTAATCTATAATCCTCTACCTCTACGGAGATACATTAAATAAATATGAATATATTTCTTCATCTGAAATAAAGTCAAATGCAAAAATAAGTGAACTATAAACAGATGCATATGTATATAATTTGGAAAAGAATATTCTTATTTATATATGTCATAAATTTTTGAAGTAAAAGAGAAAACATAATCAAAAAAGTCTTGAATGTTTAACCTTTGGATTCTTAAAATATTGAACAATATTTATCTTCTTAGAGAAGATAATATATGATATTAAATTTCTTTGAATTCGCTTACTTTTCATATTATTAAAAAGATTTGAAATTTTTTTAATTATATAGCTGAAATTTCGTTCATATTACGAAATAAAAATTGATTGAAAACAGTTGATATTACGAAAATTGGCGTTTTGAATGCGCAGTAATTAAAATCTCATTTATATAAATTATTTATAATAATTAATTTTTCTTTGTTGATTGATAAATTAGTAGAATATGTATGATATTGAATAATTCCAGAATTCAAAAATTGCTATTAGTTAGAAAATATTCTTATACATGTTTTATATCAGTATAGCATTGAAAATTGGAATTAATCAATATCTCACTAAAACTGTTGTACTACTTATGTAGTTGTCATCAATTAATGCAGAAAAAAGTAATATAAAATTAAGTCGTAAATATTGCGGTTAAAATTTGAAACTTTTGTACAAGCTGCGTTCCTAGATAGATATCAAAAATAATCAGATTTTTACTTTTAATTTAAACCATGTTTCTTACAAGAATTTCGTGCAAATTATCTGTGGACGCATAATATTACATGTTCATAAGTATATAGGAAGAACTGAACCATTTCACATACATTATAACGCACAAACCATTATTCTGTAAATTTCATAGATGGGTTTTTAACATTATTTCGGAAAATGTTAAAAATATCAACTCGTAAGCAGCACAAATGATATCATTTAAATAGCAATGAGGTGCATAGATTGTAAATATATATTTTCATGTGCTTCAAGTTCTTGGCAAGAAAATCTATTCTGCCAGTTTAGTAGAATTACATATTTTCATGTTACATTTACAACTTCTTTACTTTGAACATTTCAGACAGATGTATGCAAGACTTCGGACGGTCTTTAAACATTGGCAAATGAGAAAAACTTCACTCAGTATTTATAACGGGGAATAAAGTTCTAATTTGATCTAGTTTTGGACAATTTCTTTCTCTAATAGTCTACTCTCCTCCGCCCCCTTTAATACCCTGTGTAATAACTATTTGCTTCCAGATGTACCACTTGCTGAGGTTCACTGATGCCTCGCGTTTACAGGTCTTCACAAATTACCCTACAACCAAGACAATGAAACTTCGGTAGAGCCTGCTAATTCTATGGAGCAGCACATGCATCCACAGTAGTAAGACTACGATGTATTGAGTTAATAACTTTAAACAAGATGTTCAGAGCGTTGATTTCATTGATCGGAGCGAAGTAACCACTGGATGCAGTAGCACAGTAGTTCCTCATTCACTATCGCATCCACAGCCTTCATCCATTGATACATCTGTTATTTGTATGTCATTAAACAGTCGCGTATCTCCGCTATTACTTGATCACTACACTTTTAGTTGATTAGATGGATGAAGATCTAATTCTCATACATTTGATAAGGATTCAAGAAGATGTAATAAATTCGGTACTTCCTACTCCTTAAATGCTCTACCCTTTAACCTGTGAAAATTCCTTTTAAAAAAAGCAATGGTCGAGATAGTAATTAACTGCTGATTACTTCTTCAGAGCCAAACAATTTATTTACTGTACAGTAAGGTACTGCTCAAAGTTGCTTCGCGACCTTAAAGAAATCATGGTCGCAACTCAAAAGGAGAAAGCTTCATGACACTCACAGAGTTCGAGTTGTGGTGTGATTTTCTGACACAGACTGAAAAGTTAGAGTCAGCCATTTAAGAACTCCATGTAAAGGTCCAAAATGGGATCATGTGAAAACCCTGCGAGATGGACTAAGTTAATTGTTCATTTTCCGCAATACTCTCTGGTTGTAGAATACTTACTGTTCAGCAGGTCCTAAAAATTTCTCTAAAAGTTGGGCCAGATGTGAGAACTCCAAGGGGTTAAGAGAAACGTCAAGATTCGAACTCTTAATCGCTCCACACATCTGTCCATAGATACTCAACATCGACAAAAGAAACCCGCTAGTATTTACACATAACTTATGACATAAGTTTACTTATGTGACATAAGAAATCGTCCGTTTCAAGTAACAAGGGATAAACTTCGACTGCAGTTCTCATCGTTGGCATGTTTAACATCAAACGTTCACATATTTCATGATGTTATCTGATGTTCTGTCATAAATTTCCAATCATACATAGATTCTTTTAAAAGTTAAGCAGGCTGCAGTTGTGACTACTTCGTGATAATAAAGCAGCTCTTTCAGATTAAACAACTCATTTCCTCAGTACGGTCATCAGAAAATCTGCACGCTCGTTACATGACTCTCCTCATGCCGTCAAAAAAGCTACAGGACCTTCTTGATGGAAAGTGAGTACACTGGTGATGGTGAGAAGAAGGATGAATGTCTCTTCCTTTACACTCATCTTCCAATGCTCACCTCGGACTGGGATGGACTGTAATAGAAATCCCAATAGAGGAAGATTTGTCATGTGGGTAAAAATGAAACCTACTGACCTGCTTTCAGTGCCTCTGCAGTGGCAGTAAACCGGAAATAGGTTTGGAAACAAAACTTGCAACTACGATAGATAGATGTGTTGCTGTCGACCACTGAGCTGTAAACTACTTCAATCTACGTAATTTCGACCATTGTACCATCTTTCGGTCCCAGACAGTAACAATTCTAACCTCTGAGCATATTCTCTCTAGATGTCTAGACAAGTCAAAAATTAGAACCATAACCGAAATATACACTTACAAACAACCTCCTGTAGATAGGAGACAAGACACTTGTAATCAATTTTCTTCACAGGACTAACCATGCCAAAAATCGCAACTATCTCCTCTCTTACACCAACCCTTTTGATGGAAACGGCAGGGAACGTCCTTCTTGGACCCTCGGGATGTTTTCATGGGTCGAGAATTGTCGTGTCCACCACCAGAATCCTCATTGAAGCTGTTCCAACTTCCACCTGAATCTCGAAAATTATGCGATGATCCTCTACCCCAACTGGAACGTCCACCACCACCCCCTGGCTTTGAATAGCCGCCATCAGCTCCAGGACTTGGTGAAGTCCAAGAATCCTTCTCACTGGTTCTAACAGTGTCCGAGCGAGAGCCCCAATTCGCTGGGTCAAAACGGGCAGCCGCTTCAGCTCTACTGTTCCTAGTAGGAGATGTACCATAGCTATTGTTACTCCTACCCACACCGTATGTATCCCAGCTCCCCGTTTCTGCAGGCCCAGCTTTCCATTTTAAATCACTACTAGAGTCGCGAACAGCAGGCACGCTGATGATATCTCTTCCCAATCGGCTCCCGTTGTCAACACCCCAAGATGTCGTGGATCTCCCTGCAACATCGGCCGAACTTCCTCGATCAACCCAGCTACTGGATGATCCACCAGCATTGTCTCTCCACCCATCAGCAGAAGTTTTGTTGATGTTATAACCAGAAGCTAAAGCACTGACGCTTAGCGCTGGCTGTGATGCAATGTCCACAGCTCGAACTGTTGCGGAGCCCCATGAGTCGATCCTTTCTTTTTGGACCCGACCTGCCAAAGCATCAGTTAGTAGGACGGACTCATCTCTGGGCTGATTCGTTCTCCATATGCGTAGATCCAGTGGGAAATATCCAGTTGTATTCCACTTCCGCAACTGCTCCATGGAAAACGGACCCTGAATTGTCCCTGTTGGATCCATGTAATGCCAAACTTTCTCCTTTTCAGCAGCCTCCAGCGCTGCTTTACTCAAAGTGCTTGTCAGCTGGGACGCCAAGGGAAACGTTGACTGCATAGAGGGTGCCGTCGGTAGCTCCCTAGGCTTATTCCAGTCTGCTTTTCCATCATACACTGGGGTAGTCAAACCTGTCAAACTCGTCGATCCTCTGTAGTCGCTTCTACCAGCTCTACCACCATCTATACCTGCAGAGATATTATTCACTTTCTCAGTCCATCGTTCAGCAGGGGCAGAACGAATATTTCTTCCGTTCCCCATCCAACCTGTTCCGACGCCCGTGTCTCGCTCATCCATGACCCACTCTTTGTCCCAACCCCTGTCCCTCTCGTCATAGCCCCTCTCATTTGTGTCTTCAATGCTGTAACTTGGAACCCGACCATAAGCCATCTTGTCACCTGATCGACCTGACTCAAAACCACCCCGCTCTACCTCTCTGTTCCGTGTATTCTCCACCCAAGCAGAATGTTTGTTTCTCGCGCTATCCCATTCTGGCCTACTGCCGCTCTCTAGTTGACTACTTTTCAAGTTACTGGCCGTGGCAAGTTTATCCCCCATGCCAATGGCAGACGGGCTCCTCTCCAAGATAGTTGCCGATCCATCTATAAGTTCAGATCACAATAATAGGGCGACTGCAACGTCAATCATGGCGTCTCGAAATTCTGGAATCTAAAACACTTTCAAAGATTCCCAAACTCAAAAGATGTAAATGAAAAGAACGGACATATTCACTGAAACAAAACATAGCATACGACAACACGTACCCATCATCATCATTTTATCTTTCGATTTGTCCTCGTTACCGTCTGACTCGTAGTTAGGATCCATTCGAGGGTCGGCAGTCACTTCCGGCCTTGCATGTAGCTTTGCCGCCCGGAACGCGGGACTATTGAGTTCTTGCAGCTTCTCCACGCACTCTCTCAACGTGGGAAAAATAAGAGTAAAGGACAAAATCCTCGAGCTTTCATTCAAAGACAATTTCAAAATTTGCGGGTTGGCACTTATGTTGGTGGCCCTTCGGAAAATTGATTTTTCAAAAGGGAGTCAACTGGCTAGCTCGTAAAACATCTTCTTGACTTTATGACAACATTCCATAAAAGACTAATGTTTATTTATTTTCTGCTCCCTAAACTTCATCATCAAACAAAAAGAGAAAAGAAAATTTAGTAGGATATTCTTTCTTCCGGCCCTTCTCACTCGCACGGTCTCTGAGATTCACAAGCCTCTGCCTCTCGGTCTCGAACCACTACAAGCCAAAAAGAAGTCATATGTCAATATTCATTAAACCGGAAGGACACCTTTCAATTCGAAGCGACTCACGATTGTGATCAGCTAGCTTTCGCAGGAAGACCAGGTATCCATCACAGCAACTTGTGACTAATTTTTCAGATATGTGTGCCTTCTTTTAATATAACCATGGTTCAAGAAACGAGAGACGAATTCCAAGCGAAATTCAGACAAAAACAATGAGTTCCGGTCGGTATCTGTGAGTGAAAAGTATGTAAACTTTCCAACATCGGCATGTGGATACCAAGTTAGGGCCGAAAAGATTTAGGATATGCTGATTTCCTACTGAAAATCACGTTTAGAATTCAAAGCACCACTAAGAGTATCAGAGGGTAATACTCTCTGCTGTTTAGCAATGAGTATCGTATAACTCACGGAGGTAGGGCCTTAGGTATAACAAATTAGACTTAACAAACTCCTGGTTATTGCCAAATTATACGACACTCACTCCCGGTGTTTTCAGAAGAGTATGACAATCGAAACTGTTTTGCACATTTCTAGTGGCTGACATCCAACTTCCAGATCTTTCCAACCAGAAGAATTAAGGCATATTAGAACAGTCAATCTCTAGCAGCATTCCATCACTGACCACCCCACCCTGAGTCCTTCGTGATGCAAGAAGTGTCTCTTGCCAAAACAGCGTCTTTCAGATCCCAACACGTACTACTTTTCCACCTCATATGTACAGTGATTAGCTGCAGATTGAAAATTGCGAAGCGTATGAAACTTACATCGTTCACTTTAGCTTCTTGTAGATCTTTGGCCTTATCCTCGATATCTCCCTGTTCGATACATTGTCAGGTCAGCTGAAAAGTTCAGAGAACTGACTGATCATAATTGCGCACAAAAAGACAAAGACTAGCTTCATATGCAAGACATCCACGGAAAGATAGCCAACCGGCAGTTCTCTATTTGTATAATATATGAAGATGCAGTTCAAAATTAAGCTTTCAATCCGCTCTTCTCGTCCTGAGCAAGTAACACATAATAGTGCAGAAGGAAGCACTTAAAGCACGGGAGACTCACGACAGTCAAGGTTTTGATGAGACCACATTTGATACTCTGTCGCAACCGTTGGCATTCCTCCTAATAAAATCACAAAGGCAAGGACAGATCAGAAAAATTCTTCAGAAGAGATCCTCTCACTCCGACCGACTTCACATTGCTTGATACCTGCGTGTAAAACACTTCTGATGTGTATACACGCAATAGATATTGAAGGATATGACAGGACCTTTTGGAGAGATCTGTCGACATGAACGAGAAAAAGTGTCAAAGACCTTCCACCACTGCGAATACAAACCTCTGAAAATTCATGGTTTGACACAAGATCAACGGTAACGTCTTCCCTCTTCTGTAAGTTCAAGATCTCCAGCACTATGTTCGTCGTCTTTCTCCCTGCTTTATAAGCTTCAGCTTGTAGACGGGTACCTGATACGTAGGCAGGACAGGGTAGTTTAATAGCCTACTAGAATCAGACAACACCTGAACTCAAAGTCTCCAAGACTATTAAATAACTTCAAAATAACACTGCTCAGTGATAAAGAGGTTTCTCACCTACTACTTGGACGAGTCTGTAACACATTTCAGACTTGCTAACCATTCCTGGTACACGAATTCTCACAAATGTGCTGCAGACTTTACTGTCAAACTCAGGATCGTCTAAAAGTTCCTCTAGAAGCTGTCTTCGAAGGTAAATCAGATTGATATTTTTTGGAGTGATAGCAGCATATTCATTGACACTTGGCCTTTCAAACTTATCATCATCTCCTTTCCTGCGTCGACGTTTATCTTTCACGTCTCTTATTTTGCTGTACTTATCATCGACTCCTTCTTCATTTGGATCTTCGTCCATCTTTAAAACCTCGTCAGAAACCATATTTGGGCGTCTACTTTTTGCACCTTTGAGGGTGTAGTGAGACTGGACATGTTTGATCATATCGTACTGATTCACAGTCTTTTTCCCAAAGAGAGTTTGTAACCTTTCATCGCAAAGTATCTGCGTTTTCTTTCGAGGATCCTGAAGCTTATGACTCTTTATATATGCCCACAGTAGCTTCGTGACTTCAAACTTTGTTAAGGGTTTCTTCGGATCTTCGTCCATGAACTTCACAAAGTCAATTAGTTCCTTAGATGCCCAGCCTTCTCGAAGTTGTACATCTGACTTTTGATCACCATCCTCTTCGGTATACTCCTCTACATCATCTTCCTCAACGTCCTCCATAACATCCTCCTCCTCGGGTAGTATGTAAGGTTCACTATCGGCACCCATGACAGCATCATCACCTGATGCTGGAATTGTAGATGCTTTGGCTTTCCCTCTCTTCCTTTTCTTGGCTTCATCAGACGTGTCCATTTTGTCGTCGCCTTCACCTGATGCCCCACTATCTGAACCAGTGTTGTAATCTTCGACGTCACCTTTGTCTTCGGCGTCTGATTCACCGTTTTCCAAATAAAGTCCACCACTTCCAGCTGCTTGTTTATCTTTGTCGAGCTCGGCTGGAGTGAGTTGAAGCCTTTGCTTCAAATCGACCCAGTAATCTTTAAACAAGCACTCATACGTCTCCTGATCTTCAAAGTCAACTTCAACCTGCATCAAAAACCTTGTCACAGGTCTGAGAAATAGCGTGGTCTCGATGCCCAGTATTTGATTTCTGCTCTATGCAAAAGTCTACATCATCATGCGTGATACTTAAAGGAACGAGAAAAGCTGAAGAGAAACCAAATGTTCTTTCACTTCACAGCAATCCAAAACCGTGACTTTCCACCACTTTTTTTCTCGAAGGATAAAACCAAGACGTACCCCTTCAGCATTCGTTGTCTCGTTGTTCTCGATCATATGTACAATAGGCCAGCATTCCTCACACAGACCTTTCCTTTGTCGAACGCAAAGAAAGTCTGCTTTTTTCAAGCAGGCAGAGCAGTACGCCGTTGGGCATGTATAGCATTGAAAGTTGGCCGGCTTTGTACAGCCCGTGCAAAAATGCCAACCTGGGTCGAAACAGAGCATTATTTTGTTGATAGAAAGCAATAAGCATACCTTGCGACGAGTTCGTCTTCCAACTTGCTTAAAACATTCCAAAAAGATCTCTACTGAGGCACTCAACAGACTGATATTGAGATCCGTAATAAATCATCGTTTAGAAACCCATAAGTCATTCCCGTCATGCTGAGTTCCCGAGATTCAAGACCTAGCTGATGGGATCTACATCACGTTCGATAATTGTAAACCCCCCATGAAAATAACAAAAACGTAGAAACTACAACACAACTTGGAAATGAGAGAACTAGCTGGCAGAAAAGTAGTAAACTGAATGACAAAGCAATTGAGAGAAATAAATTGGAGTGGAGAAATACCACAAATCCAAGCGCCCTTCTTCTCGAAAAAAGCGGTGTCGCGGCCAATACAAGTTAAGTGGTAAGCCTTCGGACACGTCCTGAAAAAGGCCAGTAATTTTCATCAATTTGAGGTGCAATCTGGAGAGAAATCAGTTCATAAAATGGTAGAAAACTTTCAGGTTCAGTCAAGAGCGCAGACTTCAACCTCATATTGACCGAGACCTTAACTATACTCATGCACCAAACGTCAAAGTCGCATAAATCGGCACCGTTCATTAGTGAAAACTGCCCTTCGCGTGCCAAATGAACGGTTTAGATGATTGCCATATACTACAAGATCGATTGAAAGATTGAGAGTTGAAGAAAAATTGCGGTATGAATCGGCACCGTTTATCAGTGAAAACTGTCCTTCGAATGGTAAAAGAACGGCTTAGATGATTGCTATTTCCTACAAGATCGCTTGAAAGATTGAATGTTCAAGAAAAATTGCGGGCCTAGTCAAGTGGATTGTGGATTCTCTACGCGCGGGAAGACAAGAAGCATACCATTGGGAAGTTCAGTAATCCTTCACCATTATTATAACAAAAGAATGAGCTGAAGTGTCTAAGGCATATGATGGTCTACACAAAGAAGCTCACGTTTCCTTCGCGAAATCTATCCTTCTCATGTCAAATGGAAGCTTGCATTTTCGACAATAACTACAAGATCAATCAGAAGGTTGAGGTTTTTCATGTATATTTGGAACCATCGCATCGCTTCAACAACCTCAACCTCCCTATCCATTCAACAGATGTTCAATTTACATAACGATCTCAACCTCTCGATGGCGCTAAAGCCATATTTGGTTAGTTGTTCGACCATCCCAAATGGCTATGGCAGTAAATGTAATTTTCCTCGCACCGAGCCAAAGGGACAGAGCTGCCCAGCCGACTGGATCCACTTAACACCACAAATGGGTGATTTCCGTATTTAAAATACGGAAATTTTTCACGCATCCTTGCGCGAGAAAAATTCTAGTTCAATCGCTTGAAAAAACGAAACAGTATGCTCAAACCCCCACGTCATAAATCATATCAAATATCAGGAACTTGCTGAAAACTTTCAAGGTGAACATGACACTTAATCGCTGTGATGATACACGCAGTTTTTCACCTACCTAGATAGGACTGGGAAGAGTATATGTAAGTAAATTTCATAAATGATGAAATCTGTTAAACTAAAAAAATATTGAAAAGTTAAAACTAGGAAAAAATGCCTTTTAAGAGTAACTATTTTACAGGCAATTATTATCTTCATACAGACCAAAAAAAGGGGGGACGTAGCCAAGTGGATTCAGGCAGTTAACTGCACTGTGGTATATCTGCGCGCGGGAAGACATGAATCACAACCTAAAGAATGTCAAAATGCCGTTCATCTTTTATACCAATAGCATGAGCTCAGCTGTCTATGGCATAAGATTGTCTACACATAAAAGCTCACGTTTGCTGAACTTCAGAAGCAATTCTTTGCAGTTATATGGCAAGGACTGGATATGACATCAGTAGAAAACTAGTAAATTCTCAGTTCAACCACATGGGTTGCTCTTTTTTGCATCTATTGATTCCAAATCCGATTAGATCTACGTTGATGTCGGCCAACTTATAAATGGCTCTAGCTTAGCGGTATCCATCCAAATATTAACAGCCTCCACTGCAAGGCTACTCCAACGCTGGTCCACCTGACTGGATTCCCCAAACAGCCTTTCCCATAAAGTAAAACCGTCTCCTTTTTCTTCAAATGATCATTACAGATAGCAACTAAATGTACGAGCTTATCTCCTGAAATCGCTTCAAATTAACAGCAGATGATAGCCAAATATCCTCAAATAGAAGCGGAGGATCACTGGTCACGACAGAAAGGTATCATCAATCTCTCATTGAATCCTCGAAAAGGCGTGAACGTAATTTGATTCCCTCGCAGCAAAAATACTGCAAATATACTACTTGTACATACAAGTTCAAGTTTGATAGATTCACTTCACACCAGCACAATTATTTCAAACAGATAATGTCTAGTAAATAACTCTTATTGAAGCAAAAGGACTTGATTATATACATACCCCAAAAAAATGCTCGCGACTAACAGAATCGTCCAAAAACTCATCAAGATTTTAAGTAACTCAGCTTTAAGCTTTAAGGTTGGCGGTTATGATCATGTTTTATAGCAAATAGTTGCTACTTACTCCAGGGGCGAACTTTGAAGCCCAAGTTCAAGTTAGACAAATTATCCATAACTTTATATAGAGCAGCAAGGCTTTTGGTGAGTATGCGCAGAAAAACACATGTACTCACAGTCGTGTAACAAGGATTCCAGATGTCAGAAAAACACATGTACTCACAAATCGTTTAACAAGGGTTCTAGGTGTTGTGACGTGATCTTCCTACGTACAGTGAGCATCACGAGATAGGTACGCCTTTCACTATCCTGATGCTGAGCAGTAAATTAAACAGCGTGTTTACATAGACCTTCAGAAGATCAGTTAGTGAGGCACCTTCTAGTAACCAGATATATAGCCACTAGAAAAGACCTAAGAATAAGTTGGACACATCAACTTGAGTTCAAATACTTGCCCCCTTTCTCTTTTCCTCCCCAAATTTTTTCCCAAGTCGTTCCAGCTATTTCTCACCGGGTAGAGAGTGATGAAAACCCCCTCCAATTTTCAGCTTTGGGATTTAAGTACTTCTTCTGATAGTACAATAAATTCAGAGTTAATTTTCAGTTGGAAAGATAGTGCTAAGTCGCAACAGACACATGTCCTTCTAAAGAAGAGCATGGAAATATCAACTTCCACGCTTGAAGACCTCTGTCGAGGATGCTTCTTGCTAATAGAAGGTAGCTCTTAGGCAGTCACCGCTGGCGACATGATGGCTGGGCCGACGCCACAGCCAGACAAAGTGGAATATCTCCAATGGAGTGTCAAAACTGCTTCAACCATCAGTCACCGTAACAAATGGGATGGTGAGTGCAACGATTGTAGTTACAACAACGGTGATAATTTACGCATATAATATGAGGACTAAACCTCACACTCAAGCATCTTAAGCCATGCCTCCTTTCATGAGGAAGAGGTGGACATTTCTTCAAAAAAGAACTAGAATGTATTTCTGTAAGACTACTGGCTTTGAAGAACTCACCTTCTTCAAGTGAATCCCGAAGGGACTGAGCAATCTATGGATTGGGGCATTCTGTACCAACTGTAAGTGTTTCATATCGAACCTCTAATCCAGCTCCCACGAAGAAAGCAGATGGATGGGTTCCTGAACAACATTATCTTCATGCAAGAGAGGACTGAAAATACACACCTTATACCGACCCCTGATATGCACAACACAGCGTTCACTCAGACAGGCTTCTGCCGGGATTCAGTCAGGAAACGCAACCCATGCGCACATCGCAGCAGGTATCAAAGACAAGCAGGACCTTAAATTAAGACACTTTTAGAGTGGAAAGTCAGTATTAATGCAAGCTCCAGTGACAGACAGGACTTAAGGAATCCTTGATAACGTCGAACCAATAAACGCCGCACACAGACCTCACTTTTGGAGAAAATTTTCGATTTGAAACTCACCTTCGATCGCAAAGAACAAGATCCCCACCATCGAAGCAAATAAAACATACGTCTTCCTCGTCTTTCGATAGGTTTTCTGAAGACAGAACTCTCTTCCCTCGCTTCTTGCGAGCCTCGTTGGGCGTGGACTCTAATGCACGCTTCCTCTCGTTCAGCAAATCCTTCGAGTCTCCTGTGCTCTCTCCAGCCAACAGTTGATCGGATCTCATGTGAGCCAACATTCTAGCTTCTTCCTCTTTCACAGATGCCTCATAGAGCTCCATTTCGCGCTCTAATTCTGTCTTGGCACGCACATCGGTGAGACTCGAGCTTGCAGGCGTTGTAACGTTCACCTCGATCGCTGCAGGGGTCGCTATCAAAGCTGACACTTCCTCCTTCGAGTCCTCAGGCCTTGCCTGTAATTCACGTCCGCCCTCGTCCATCTCTTCTACGGCAACTGACAGAGTTGCAAGCCCTGACATAGACATCGGCCCGGACACCTCCTGCGCAGGGGCCTTCGGACCCTTTTCGGAGAGGTCTTCGTTCCCAGACTCCAAAGATGAGACAAACGTTTCATGGCGCACCTCGGCCTCCGCGGCAGTGCGGATTCGTTCAATCGTAACGTCTTGCTCGTCCACTTCTTCTTTCAATCCATTATGATGTACTGATGAAGAGGTATCCAACTGCTCCATCTGATTACCGTTTCTGGGCCCCGAGGAATCACTCGCACGGGCGACATCGGGTTGTATTTGGTTGATGGGGGATGTGATTCCGATTCGATGGTTGTCTTCATTTCCTCTTCGAACATTGTCGTCCTCTTTTCCATTACTGTCTTGCTTTGATGTGTTCATTCTGTTGGGTTCCTCGGGCAATTCTGCGGCCATACTTGGTAATGACTGAGGCTCATTACTTTCAGAAACACCCTTCTCGGCAATCGCTTGTTCAACTTCAAGAGACGATGTCACAGCGACGAGCACCTCAGATTGCCCTTCAAGCTCCAAATTTTGGGACCGCATTTCGCCCTCTTTTCTCTCGATGTTGTTAGTCGCACCATCCATATAGGTGGACATCTCCGGCCCATCTGTTACAGATGGGGTTTGCACTTCGGTGGTCGAAATCATCTCGACCACCCCGGTTCTAGAAGAGATTACATCTGCGACGTTCTGGCTAATTTCAGCATCCTGGAATTCTTGTGAGGACGACTTCGCAACATTCATTGCGTCCACCTCGATTTCCGGGGTATTCTCAACTTCACCAGTTGACACTGGATCTTCATTCATTGGTTCGGAGCTCTTCTCAACGTTTGCAATTGGCGACACAATAGATGACGCCTTGGAAGGAGAATCAGGACTTGAAGTACCAGAGTAAGGGTCGCCAGTCTCTGTATACAATTCTGTGCTCATCACAGCGGTAGATGCACCACTGTGCGCGGGGGACGAGGGATCTTCCAACTCAGGGGCGGACACTTGCTCATCTAAAACATCCATTCCTTCCTGCGCATCTCGCTTTGTTGTTGCTTGCGCGGCAATGTGATCGTCCTCCACGGACGCGGACTGGTCCGAGGGATCAACCACTTCGTCACCCCCCGTCATCGATCTTACCCCTGCGTTCTCTCGGAGAGGTCTGACAGGCAGCCACGCTGCGCCCCTCGGGGCTCTTTGTGTGGAGTGCTTTAGGTTTCAGGCCTTCAAGAAACTTTTCTCCTCCTCATCGTGGTCTTTACTCTTTCATTTTCCACGGTCCGGGCTCTAAAACGCACGCTCAGTGTGTGTTTGTGTACTGTGTGTTGATGGATGGAGGGTGCAAGGGCACAGATGCTCTTTCCGGGCTCAACCACAGGGACCTGTCAAGTCCAGTGCATCTTCAGTCTGCCCTTCTTCTTCACATCGACAGGCTTGACAGTCGAGTCCGAGATGTGCTTGAAAACGACGCTCTGTCAGCAATTTTCCCTTTCACCTTCCTTCCTTCCTTTTGTTTCTCTTTCACTGAGCTTTTCTCGTGACTCTCTTCGCCATTTTCTCACCACAGCCCATCGTCGCCTCTCACCATCTCACTCACTCTAGCACCCGACCCTGGGATTTTCCGCCTCGTGAGCTCATATCTTTGGCTCCTGATGGCCCGATGTCATCAACATCGACAACTATCATTTACTCGACGGCAGCAAGGAGCCAGCCAGCCAGCCAGCCAGACCTGCCGTGCCGTGCCGTGCCAGGCCGTCCGCTCTCGTGCCAATCAATCCCAGATTTTTTTCCATCGTCGCATGGCCCGCTTGCCGCTGCGCTTGGCGTGCTCGCTCGAGCCCTTGGCCTCTGGCTGCAATGCACTCTTCATCCGCTGCTGCTCAAGACCTAAGCTCTCTGTGTTTACTCTTATGCCTAGCTTACCCTCGTCCCGTCCCGGCCCCCTAGCACCACGACGACGACCCGCACGACCTAAAAAGCTTCCGCCCTCGCCCTCGCCCTCGCGGGCAGCTCCAGCTGCCCGCCACGCGCGGGGTGCGCACCCCTGCAGTCCCGCCGCTCGCCTCGCATGTCATCACCCGAAAATCTCCTCCCCCCTGCCCAATCGCAAACGCCCTCCCCTTTCTCTGACCTCCGCCTGCGCTATCCGCGCTCCCTCATCTGGGGCCCTGCCCCCTTGCCCTAGCTCGGGCCCTGCCCTGCCCTGCCTTCGTTCTTCGACCTGATCCACGTTCTCGCCTTCCCGGCAATTTCAATGCGCATACGGACGTCGGCCTCGGAGTTGGAGGAGTTCGAGCTGCACCCGCGACCTGGGCTCGTTGATAATACTCGCTCTCTCGGCGACGACGACGACGACGACGTACACGAAACCTTCGCTTTCTCGCGATCTACATGTCATCGCAGACACGTGTTCTTTCTCATCCGTTCTCTCCCGTTTTGTTCTGCATGCCCGACCCAACCGTGCGTTTCTCCTCTTCTTCCTCTTCCTCGTAATGCGTCTTATCATCTGTCAGTCAGTCAGTGTCGCCGTCTCGAGTGAAGACGTAATTCTCACCCGCATTTTTATTTATTTTCCTCCCTCGGGCCGTTAGTGTACTGTAGTAGTTTATTTGTCACGAATGCCTTTACAATTATTTTCCAGCGATTTTTCGCCGCGTTATAATTTGGTCGCGAATTATATCGCGGCGAAAAATCGCTGCGATATAATTCCACCCTTCGTAAACCCAGTCTGAATTATTCGCGCAATCGCGAGTCCACTTACTTACAATTATCCCGAACTTACCCCATCCAAGCAGGTGTACCGGTCCTTTAGGATGCATCACCGGTTCTCTATGGTCTATCGCGAAAGACGGGTCGAGATACCCCCAGCGAGGCCAAGTTGTTCTCTCTTCGGCTTTCGTCGCATGTCGGTCCGGAGTAGGAATCTTTTCACTTAATTGGGACACCCTCCCATAAGACAAAGAGCCCGAAAGGTAGCTCCGACTTTGTATCGGTATAAATCCCCACCTTCCATTTGTGCGCGACGAGACATTCATAAATCGGAATACACTTTCTACATTTATCTTCTTCGCTACAAAGCCGCTTTTATCAATTCCTTGGGATGGTATGAGATTTTCGCCGAGCGTATAATAATAAGCCTTTTTTGGCAAGCCGAACGGGAGTTGCTCGGCTATAGAGACGTAGGGTAGCTTACAACAACTGTCGTCATTTTTTATGATAAATATATGAGGTCTTCTAGAATATTCTGGACCTGTCAAGAGCAGGTTGCTCCGTCTCCTCCTCCGCGTCGATGTGGACTACTTGTGAGATTTCTTATTTTTATTCTTATTATAATTCACCTGCTGATGCATCCTGCACCGCGTTATACGGCGCGTACCTCACATCAGGGTCCCGCTTTGCATGGCTCAATCACGGCCTCTCCTCATTGACGCTTGTATTATTCTTGGATAACTGTCGTAGCCTTGATTTGTACATTAGTACGATTCGCAAATTGTCTCTGCCAAATACAGCCCCACCATTTTCCAACTCCACCCCCATTTGTATCGGAGTCGAGGGTGACTTCCATAAATTAATAACCCTCGAACCTAAATTATGCTAGTGACTCGGACGTCTATCTTCTTCCCAAAGTACCCAATCTTGAATCTTCAACGCAAATTGGCACTTGATTTCACCGGCCTAAATAATACACATCCGATGTGAAATATGTAGATTTATTCCTTTAGGTTGAAGGCAGTACAGAGAATATAGACCAAGTCTCGTTCGAGCCAATGAGGGAGAAGAATACGCGGATAAGAGACGAAACATTGTAATGAGCAAGAGAACTATGTCAACATTGAGATAAATAATATTTTACTATGTCGGCATCGCGACGTGCGGTTCCGTCATCCGATCGATAATGTGGAAAGACGGCATGTAACAAACTCCTCGCTTTTTGTTAGCTTTCAGTTTCAAGCAGATCTACGGTTTCGAGACTTGTTGAGCAAAGGTTACCGCAGTCGGACATGCCGCACGAAACAAGCCCCTGGACAATAATTAACAAAAGTTACTCTGCCGAAGTTGGCTGGAGCAATACTAGATTGAGACCATGTCCGGGGCTAAAGATCTGCCGTGATCAAAGCTGGTTAGACGTAGAGTAGACCATATCAAAATAGAAGAAGTGATTACGTTATTCTCCTCCACTACACCGTACCATGATTACGTTGCTATCATTTGACTATTGATCGACTCCTGAAAATGTCGATGTCACCATAACAACAACGGTACATGAACATGTCATTCCATTCCGGTCCTGATTAGTACGAGGTTTGTGAGTTGATATGTTTGAGTATACGATAGTCAGAATGAAATAAATAAGGGATCTCACTGATGCAGATGCTCATGCCTTGGACGTGGACTGCACTTGTGATCAGTCTGATGGGCCTCGAGTCCAGCGAACATGCGTTTTAGGCAGGCCTCTCTATATAGGGCGGATTCCGTATGTTCTGTATCTCAACAAAATAAAGATAATTTTCAAATCAAAATACGGAATATACTGAACTCAACAGTTTCCGGTCGAATTTTGACCTCAACCTTCAGGTTTTCGTCTGAATTTGTCGACAATGTAATACAACTTCGAGAGAAATGGGTGTTATCTTTGATCTCTGTATATCTTTTTCCCATTTTAGCAAGGAGAAATCACTCTCCACACCGTTGAAGTGTTCGAAAATGTTGAAACTAATACTACAAAAAATTCCCTGAGTTGAAAAAATCTATTTTTAAAACCTGGAATCAAACTTTTCAGTCAACAGATTTTTGTGCACCTAGAACATTGACTTCATACTGTTCTGGGTTCACTAGTTCATCTTTGTACTTTTGTTTCCGAGAAATTGTGAGACTTTCTTGATATTTTAAAACTAGTTGAATAATTTTTTGTGTTTTCAAAGCTACAAGTGAATGAGGTAACAAGGAAAGAAAATACTAGAACTTGGTTGAACTCATCAGGTGTCGCCGCAAAGTTTTAGTCAAGTACTGAGTTAGTATTTCTAGTAAAGTAACGGTAATGAACAAAGAAATTGTCACAAACTATCACTGCAAAGAATTAGCTCAATATTTACGTAGGTATCTCTAGTAAAATCTCCTACATCAACAAAGATTTTTCAAAAATTGTCACCCCAAAGTTTTAGTTTAGTTTTAGTGACTCCGTTAGTTTCTACACCCACCCAGACAACGAAGACTTTTTGTTGGAAATACGGAACTTTTTGAAAACGAAATATGGCACTTTGGCCCTCAAGTTCCGTATGTGCCGTATTTAGAGAGGCCTGGTTTTAGGTTCTGTGTGCGGCTACACTCGCCATAAATACCCAAGTTCAGGACTGACCCCGCTAGTTGCACTTGGTAGCAGATGTTGAATGCTTCTCTCCACTTTAGGGCTGTGTGGCCTACTAACTAGCGTCAAAGGGAGTTCTTATGCATCCAAACCGCCTCTTACGCTGGGTGGCCACTTTCGATGTGGTGATTTAGTTGGTTACTCTTTTCTTTTCAATTTTTTTGTCTTTGAGGTCGGTAGGAAGTAGAGATGTCATGGAAAATTTATGGAGTATGTGGCCTAGCAACGTGACCACTGTGTACAAGTGTACTTTACACCACATTCAGCACATGGTTGTTTCGCTTTGAACATTGAGGTTTGTGATTCTGCTTACTAAGCAGCGGCCACTCGAGTCAAGGGTGGTTGCTGTCGTCAGCTGGTGCATTACATGTGGCAAGACCGATTGTCAGAAAAGGCCGCATCATACCTGATACGGAAATTTGTTTTTTAAAGAATGTGTATCAAATACGATGTATTAATTTCTCAGGGTTGCTCGCTTCCAACGGGGAACTTTCAAATTAGGGTTCAGAAGAGGCGATCCTTGTAAGAGGGAGGCCTTTGATAATCGACCTACGTGCGTGAAGATTCTCCGCATCACACCAATATGTTATCCTTTCTTTGTAACATCGCAACGTTACATCGCAAACGTTGAAACAATTGATTGGAACTTGATTTTCTTTTATATCAAACCTTCTGATCACTATCACGAAAATAGATTTTATATAAAATCATATCAAGTGTATCGAGGTCAGATAAGACGTGCCCATATATCGTATATACATTATGTATGAATCAATGATTTTGCACATATTAAAGGCTGCTACTTTGCAACGTTAAGAACTGCGTCCGTCATCCGGGAGCACACAAGCTGCAAGGACGTTTTGAGGGAGACTTGTGAGCAATGCCGGAACGTTTCCGAAGTCTGATTCCTATTCTACTCCGCACAGATTGTGGAAGGTGCTGCTACTCGTGCAATCATAATCAGAAACCTTGTACTTCTCATGAAAACAAGACATTGAGGCCCGCAAACAATCCGCATCGCTCGGTGCCAGCGAGAAAGATTTGTGTACGACGTGACTTCTAAACTCTATTTGGCATTTAGTTTAATCTCCTACAACTCAATAGTCGACACAAAACTGGAATTTCCTTTTCTTCGACATCAAGGGGTATAACACAAATATTCAAGCTAAAGTAAACAATTTAAAAGCATGCAAATAGATTATTCTAAATTAAGGAATTACCTTAGTATTCAATTTGTTTATCATCCGATTACATCTTGATATGAACTTAAGAACACAATTCAAGGTTCAACATCGTGGTGGTGAAGTAAATTCGCCTAGGTCGATGTGAGGTTAACCTTGCATCGTCCTTACAACGGATGAACATATCTGATAATTGCATGGAACAAGAATGGTGTATATGGCATTCAAACTCGAAACATCACTTGGGTGGACATGTGAAGTACAAACATCGTGTAAACTATTGAAGTAGGTTTTTGACGTGATGAGATTAGAGGAATACATGAAGTCATCAATAGGATAAAAGTAGATGCAAAAGATTTGAATAAGACCTAAGTTTCCAAACAAATGCAGCAATATCAATATGCTTGCTTCTCTATAGATTTTTCACTACCAATATTTTACATCACATGTTCAAATTTCAAGATTTGCATCTAAATGATGTTTTACTTCTCTTAAATTTTAGAGCATCAAGAATTAAAGCATGTATTTTTACATACTTGTGATTAATAAATGTAGCACTTATTGATTAAAAAATAATAATCTTTTATTGATGTTTTCAGCATGACATAAACAAGTTTTCTTATGACATGATATGAACTCCTAACAAAATGAATGATATTATATTTTCAAATTCCTAATA